TATAAACAAGCCCAACTCAGAGACCAACAACAATATAAACACGCCCAACTCAAAGACCAACAACAATGTAAACACGCCCAACTCAAAGACCAACAACAATATAAACACGCCCAACTCAAAGACAAACAACAATATAAACAAGCACAACTCAAAGACCAACAACAATTCAAACACACACAACTCGAAGACAAACAAGAATATAAACCTGAACAACTCAGAAACCAACAACAATATAAACACACATAACTAAGAGACCAACAACAACAACAACAACAAAAACATAAATACACACAAATCAGAGACCAAGAACTTCATAAACACAGGCAAGTCAGAGACTAACAATAATATAAACACACACAATTAAGATACCAACAAAAACACAAACGCACACAACTCAGAGACAAAACAAATATATACACAAATGCAAATCATAGATCGACAATAACATAAACACACATAACGCAGACACACACCAACATAAAAAAAAAAAAGGCTCAGAAAAAAAATTATCGACCATGTTCACAATTTATTACACAATAAAAGCATCACCCCCATTTTTCTTCACTACATAAAATACAACACCACCAGTTCATCCCTGACCCTACAGCACACTACAATCACGTCTTGTAACTCTCTTAAGTAATACACAAGTAATCCAACGTCATTCCGGTGAATATGGGTAGTTTTTCAATAAGTCATTAAAATTATTAGTACTGCATTTTGTTTTTACAATACTGCTTCCTGTAACAAAGGAATTTCCGTTTTTTTTTTTTTAAATGTTCTGTGTCTTCTTCTGCCCGTTATCGACACCAATGAAGCATAGGCCCTCAACCAACTCAGGCCAAGACGTCCTTTCATTTGCTGCTCGCCCTACGTCCTACTCTTTAACTTTTTTTCTCTTTTTCATTTATCCACGAGTTTCAGATCTGCCTTTTTTTTAATGCTCCTGTAAGTTTCAGTGTCAGACATTGTTCAAGGTTTTTTAAGATTATCTATAGGGCAATCACTGACATATCTTCCACTGTCATAGTTTTGTTTGGGTGGGACACACATACTGGGACTCAAAAATGGACACGCAGACAACATTTTCATTGAAAGGGCCTCACTGACTCTGCCGCATGCAGACGTGGAGCACCAACGGAAACTCCAGAGCATGGCATGCAAGACCGCTCAGACCTTGCCATCTGAGAGAAGAAATATGGACCTGCAGGAGTGTCCCTGCAAGACAAACTATGATGAAGATCAATACCACCACCCTGTTTGGGATTCACGCTGCAAAAGACATCTAGCATACAATTCCATAAGAACAAGAGGAGGAAGAGGAGGAACAACAACAACAACATCAACAAAAACCAGCAGCAGAAGAAGCAGCAGAATAAGAGGGAGAAAAAGAAGAAGAAGAAAAAAAAAAACAATACAAACAAACAGCAGAAGAAGAAGAAGAAGAAAAAGGGTAGGATATTTAGAAATTGTTTTTTGTTTAAGTCATTTGTCGCTTTAAAAAAACAATGAAATCACACTTAGTCACCCCTCCCCCTCCAATCAATTTTTTGTTTTCTCTCCCTCTCTCTCTCTCTTTTTCTGCCTCCTCCTCGCGTCCATTTTAAAATCTGCTGTAAAAATCGTATTGTACTAAAGATGCAATGGTTAGATGTCAAGACAACGAATGCAAAAGGAATAACACGCTAAAAGAATGAGAAACTGGTTATCTTATGACTTTTAATGTCTAATGATAGGGGAGTGAAGCATCAACGATCTTTTTTTCTTTGTGAATCTCACCCATTGATGGCGTGAGTTTAGTTTTGTCTTCGGGAACTGAAGCTGGAGAGGCTATAGGCTGATGACGACAGTTCCTGATGTGCGAAAGTAAAATGCTGACAAATGAGACCCTAGTATGGTCTGTAACGCTCCTTCTGTCCATGGTCTTGTTGCTGCCTGCCTCTTGTGCCGTCAAAATTCTAAAAGACAAAATGAAGAAATCACTTAGACATATGTACGAACCCCAACCCTTTTATTTAGCAAGAACCTGAAGAAACAAAATGACACTAAAAAAATATTTTGTCAGACATAATGGCCAATCAGAGAGATGAATGAAGGCGGGTGATTTCTGCAGCAATGAACCTCAAGGGCTCGGAATGCTGAAGAAGAAGAAAAAGATAAAGGCATAATGAAACTTGACTATGGTAATGGTGGTTGTTTGATCTACCATGGGAAGACAGAAGTAATGGTGGTATCAAAGAAACCAATTATTTCTAAATGTGCAATAAAAGTCGATGGCATTATTTTAGGACAAGTACAGAAATGTAAGTATCTGGGCACATGGATAACATCAGATGGAAGATGCATAACTGAGATAAGAAACAGAATAGAACAGGCAAAAACTGTATTTTATAAAATGAAAAACATCTTGTGCAATATATCATTGTCATTGAGAGTTAGAAAAAGAATTCTTGCTTGCTACATACATCAAGTTTTAACATATGGCTGTGAATCCTGGACAATCGGTAGGCAGGCCAAACAGTTTCTAGAGGCCTCAGAGATGCGGTTTTACAAAAGAATGCTTAGAATACCCTGGACAGCCAAAAAGAGCAACCAAGAGGTTTTGAAAGAGGCGGAAGCCCGAAGACAACTTATCCCAGACATCAGAAGGAGACAGTCATCAGTTTTCGGCCATGTTATGAGAAGAGGATAAATAGAACATGTTGTGACCACTGAAAAGATCTGTGGACGGAGGGACAGAGAAAGACAATGAGAGAAGATGCTCGACAGTCTTGTTGCATGGCATGGAGGTGTGTCGGCAAACGAACTGATACATGCTGCAGGAGATTGCAGATTATGGAGAGGCATGATCGCCTACGCCAGTCGGCAAGGCACCTGATTATGATTGATTTACTAATGTGAAGCAAAATGACCTTAGAATGGGGTTATCATGAAATAAATGATGACATCAATTCTTTTTTGATGGATGCAGGCTCAACTACCACATGCGTCAAATAAAGACTGCACAGTCCCCACAGTGTATCTGTCAGACAGGACCACAAACACCTGAGCCCATTCTATAGACCTGCCCACTATACCTGCAACTTCGAAAAGACACCTGGCCTCAGGAGCAGAGTGTGCAGAGCAGGCTCAGAGGAATCATGAAGGACCGGCTACTGACATGCAAGTTCACTGATGCAACCACCTGATGGTCTGATATGAGCATACGAAACCCAACGCAAAAAAAGGAGGAGGCGGTCAATGCTATATTTTTACCCTTAAAGAAAATTTCTGGTGGGGGGGGGGGGGGGGAACATAATTATACCTATTATGTCAACACATTAAGCAGTTGCAGCCAGTAGCAAAGCTGCTATACAGGTGAAATGGCCACTTCAAAGACTTCACGTTATAAAATCCGTAACTGCCGGAAAAACGGCTTTCTTTAGGTGATACTTAATTAAACCGTGTGCTGTCTCCACAATTAATGTTGGTTGTAGTGCAATTACTGCTGTGTTTGGGATTACATTGCTGTGATGCTCTAATCTCTGCCACACTCCTGCACCACTTCCCCAGAACCACGAGAACGGTCTATTTGAATTTAAAAACAGCCCTTCTACACTGAGAATTAAAAAAATATATTTGTGTGTGGGTGAGCATGGGTGTGTGTACGTGTCATGACTATGATGATGGTGTGGTTGGCGAGTGCGTGTGGGTATAAGTGAGTGAGTGAGAGAGAGAGAGAGAGAGAGAGAGAGAGAGAGAGAGAGAGAGAGAGAGAGAGAGAGAGAGAGAGTGTGTGTGTGTGTGAACAAACAAAAACCTTATTTTCAAAGAGTTAAGAATTGGGCACGCGCGTCTAACATCCTGCCCTTCTGGTCTCCCCTTATGCAAACCGTTATCCATTCATTCATAATGTCATAAATAAAAAATAATTTTCAACAACATCTAAGTCTTATTTACACATGCTATAACAAATACTCAAATTATACTTACATTACTAAATAAACAAAGAAAAATTAATAAAGCAATAAATACAATCGTGTGATGTTATAAATCTAAACATCATCGATAACTAAATATTGATTTCAAACACTGGATTGTCCGACTGTCACCTATATTCTTTACCAATGATAACTCTTAGTATGCAACTAAAAAATCAAAGAAAATATATCACATTCTTTACCAATAATAATTCTTAGTATAGAACTAAGAAATCGAAGAAAATATATCACATTCTTTACCAATAATAATTCTTAGTATAGAACTAAGAAATCGAAGAAAATATATCACATTCTTTACCAATAATAATTCTTAGTATAGAACTAAGAAATCGAAGAAAATATATCCCAGTCTTAGCATACTATAATCTTTCAGGGAGCATGTAGCCTGCTGTGAGATACTATTCAAACAGTTTCTAAATATACGTACAGTGGTTAGTGGTAGTTTTGATTCATTGTAGACGATGACACCACAGCTGAGCTGCCGAGTATGGTATTTTCTGTAGGATTATTCATACACACAGACACACACACACAGAGAAACGGAGAGGGGGAGAGGAGAGGGGGAAGGGTGGAGTAAACAACATAACTTTCAACGAGAAAAAGTACGGACTAGGTTGGGGGATACTGATGAATCGCTAACGCTAATACGACTGTTTGACCTGGAAGTAAATCTCGGTGAAGCACGTCTATGCCGTCTTCAAGGTAAAGACAGGAGGCACTCCAACCAACTTCTCACAGGAACAATAAGTAGCAATACCAACAATAAGTAGCCATACCTTGGAGTGGCTGTTGCATCGGAGGACTGATCACACTTGCGCATGCCCAATGATCAAGACAGGAGGCACTCCAACCAACTTCTCATGGGAACAATAAGTAGCAATACCCTAGAGTGGCTGCTGCATTGGAGGATTCAGCACATGTGCGAATGCACAATGTGCCGCGATGTCAACTGTGATAACATAACAACAAAAGAAAGAGAGAAGAATGAAGCGAGTGCTGGCGTACAAGTGTGAAACTCACCCGCGGCTGATGCTGGAATCCACCACGAGCAGCTGCTTGTCCTGGGGGGTAAGACTGATACCCACTGTCGTCCCTTCGGTACTGGTTGCTGAAGTCGTTGTAACCTCGCTGTTGTGGCTGCTGCTGCTGTCTCCTATACAGAACCAGACAATATTCCTTTCAGCTGACCGTATATGGCTTATGTTTATGTTTATTCAACATATCAACATCATGGCACACGGGTGTAACCTATAAGTGCACCGTTCTACTTCTAACTCAAGCCTGAATTTGAAGAATTTCAGTGCAGTCCGCGAACTCCAAACGAACAAACTTTATTTTCAAAGGGTTACAAATTGAGCCCGGGCAGTGCCGTTAGGTACTCTTTTTCGATTTCCAACTGCCAAGGGATTTCTTAAACGTGTGCAACAATACACACGGGCATCCGATCTTAGTACCCAGAGACCAGAGGAAATTACTAGAAGTCCACGTGAAAAAACCCCAAACCTTCACCGGGGTTTGAACCTGGGACTTCCATTACTCAAAGAAGATGCCATACTCCGAGACTACTCACCCCCCCCCCCCCCCGGTGTATGCTGGTAGTGGTAAGTAGAACATCTTACATGTGGGTACAGGGGATCACACTGCACACTTTCCTACCCCCCCCCCCCCCGCCCTTTTCTCCGTTTTCTGACCCGTTAATACTCAAAATTATTATTAGTAAACAGGACTTTGTCCCCCCCCCCCCCCCCCCCCCAGTTTCCCTTAGCAGGAAAATTTAAGGAGGCTGAGCCCCCCCCCCCCCCCCCCTCCCCAGTTATCTTTTTGTTGGTGTTCCTGAGTGAGTAGCTGAGCTGGCAGACAGGCGAGAAGCAATACTGTAACATCGCGTTTTCAGCTATTAAGACTATGATCTACATAACGAAGATTGTTTATATGACCTCCAACTAATATTCTTGGTGCAGAAAGAGCACGTTTCTAACCCCTGCCCCCTTCTTTCTCTCTCTCTCTCTCTCTCTCACACATAATACAGATCGACGAGTCACACAATATCGCACTATCAAACAAAACCACCGAGTCAATTACGTTGGGGAGAAAAACATCAAGTTTACAAACAAGTGAAGGCGATGAGAAGCATTTACCAGATCCGGTCACCACAACGAGGACTTCCCATAACAAGCAACCAGGTCCTTCTGTATATAAATAGAGAAGGCCGTGTAGGCAACCAACCCCACCGGCTATTGCAATTAGCCCGGCTACTGCCGGAATCAGCCCCTTCCGCACCAGGTGTCCAGGGAATAAAGCCACTGGTCAGTTGTGGTCAAGTTCAACTGCTGAGAGACCTCCCCGAAAATGTTCTCCCACCTGAGCCCTGTCCGTTGTGAACAATCTTGTTTTCTCTGGACTCCATATTCACACAAGCCCATTTCTGAACACAATAAGGGGTTTGTCGGCGGGTGGTTATATTAATCAATCTGGTGCCATTCCTAACGTGAAGGTTGTCTCTACTGAATCATCACCTCTTGCCTCCTGCTCTGGTTGAGTAGCCCCGTCCTCGAATGGGTTACGAGGCCCCACTGAGAAAGGGGGGATTACATCAGTGCCCGCAAAAAGCTAGTCATAGAGGGTTGCCGTCTTTAAAGTTGTAGTTTACTATAGACATGGCCAATAAGACACCTTTTTTGGGTGGTGCCTAGTTGACCAAGTTCTTAGTGCACTTGTATTCATGGCGAGGCGCAGTCTGGGGTGACAGGTTCAATTCCCGGCACGGTAACTATAGCTTTCGATTTTATGTTGTCTAGTGAGTTCTTCTATCTATTTGTTTCTTTCTAAGAGTGCCGATCAATATACTTTCTGTTACCTGATTAATTCATAATGTCTCTAAAGTAGGAGTGCATATCTCTCATAGGCAATGAACCAACCGTCAACTCTGGCGGAAAGTTCTGGTTGTATGTCCGCCTCTGGATTGTACTCTTGTTCCAGAACCAGAGTGCTGCGTGCACATCCGTTTTACAGACCTAGCCTTTATGTAGACTGTTGCTTTCTTGTCTCTCATGCAGATGCACTCCGTCTTCTAAAGAAGCCCCTTGACTCTTACGACATGTTTTTCAGGGAGGCAGAGGGTCTATCCTTGTTCTCCCTATAAATCGGCCCTGAAACCCGGACGAAGATATAAGACAGGACAAGATTAAATGGAGGGAAACGAGAGGCAGAGTAAGACGTAGCAAAGGGGATGTTAGCATCATGGATTTCCGTGTGGTGTCCGGGGGTGTGAGGTGAGGACGGAGGTAGAATAGACCACAGCCTCCTGTAGCTACTCTCGCTGAGGCCTCGAACCGACCAACTTTCCCCTAAAAGCCTATCGTTTAAGTCGACTAACTATGCGTGTTTCCTTCGAAGTCGTAGTGCATGTGCCTGAGAGGCAAGGAGCCAACATTCTGCACACACATGACTGATCTGTAAAACAAATGCGCACGCAAAACTCAAGTTCGCAAAGGGAATCCAGTCCCGCACCCTTGGCCTCTCTCGTGTTTTGGGGTTTCCCTTAAACGTCCTCACCATCTTAACTCAAATTGCTTCCCAAATACTTCCATAATTTTAATTTATTTAATATTTTTACACCCCACCTCATCCTTTTCCCGCTATTTCTTGAATGTTTAATTTCGTTGCAGCTCTCCCTGTCCAAATTTTCTCAAATATCATTGTTTTTTTTTTTGTTTTTTTCTATTTCATTTTCACTTTATTTTTTATATTTTATCAGCGTTTTTTTTCCCGTTGATAAAGGCTGGTGGAAATGTTAGTTTCTCAGTGTGTGCTATCCGTTCTATTTCCTACACTGACCTTTCTAGCAGCTGTGTATTGTGCGTTAAGGTGATCTAGAAAACACGGACACTGAAAGCTAGACCTTTAAACGAAGACACACAAAGAACAAACAATTTACTGCCTGGCATAATTCACTGTGGTACACCAGCTGCATAATACAATGCAATAATAAAAAGGTAAAAGGTACAGTCGGGAGATGTGAACCAGCGTCATTGCACACGGTTATAAACCATAAGTGCTCTGCCACCAGTACGGACAGCTGATAAGAAGCTGTTCGCTGTGTCGCCGTCCGCACGCAACTCCGTAGCTATAGCGACGTTCCTCCACTTACCCCAGAGTGTAAACTCTGGCACCCATTATCTAGAGGCTGGGTGAGCTCAGGGAACCGCCCAGTTTCGAACACCGACCGTGGGCTACAGCGAGTCAAAGTTGGATATGAAAGCGAGTCTCCTATCGACTGCGCTAACGCCCCCCCTCCCCCCACAATAAAATAATAAAAGAGATGGATCAAACAATCCTTTCCCTTGTTCATATTTCATCATCATCGTGTAGCAGGTCCTTTGCAGAACGTCGCTCTCATCAGTCTTCCTGAAAGAAACTCGGTCACTCGTCAGCTCTCTCTACTTTCAAACTCAAGGAGTCACTTATATCCTGTGCCTATATTCGTGTTGGTCGGCCCCTGCCCCTCATTCCTGGTACCATGCCTTCCGCTATTATTTTTTCCAAACCGTAGTGGCGCTTGATATGACGAGAATATTTCAGCTTCCAGGTGTTCAAATTTACAACGGTGAAACATCCAATCCTCATTGTCCTGTTGCGTCATTACATGTCACAAAGGTTACCAGTCTATTTACCCCATTCTACTCTTTGCAGTCAGTGCGATATACTGGACAGAATCCAGTCAAGCAGCTTTGGCCTTTCCCTTTAGCTATAGGGTTTCTCTTGGATGTCCTCGATTCCACAGTTCATCTATTTCCCATTACAGTGCCTGTCTGGTGATACTTCATTGGTCTCTTCACAAAACAGCTCCATCTAATAACTGTTGACATGCGGTTGTATCGTCTTTCTAGACGATAGTGTTATTTTGCGCTATGAGGAGGCATGACAGTCACAGCCAATTTCGATGGCGAGTGTGACTAGCAAGACCCGCCCGTGTCAAGAAAAGTCTTCCACAATGAAAGCATGGGATCTCAGGACCATTGTTGTCAACACTTGTGTTTAGTCTGTTTCTTTTCAGACGCTAAGCTGTCATCTTTTCTGCAATCATTTTTTCCTTCAGTCTCATTCCCTTCCTGATATGCCCTTTCCACACAAGACGGTCCATGGCATTTTGTTTCCATGAGTCCACCTTAATACCTGTATCATTCACACGATTGTGTGGACACTTCTCTTATTACCCCCACACCCCCCCCCCCCCTTTGAATTTCATCCCATTTTATGTTCATCATTTTCCTCGGACATTTTGTTTTCACAAATTTATTTACATTTGCCTTTAGCGGTTCTCCAACGTTCCCTGGCATAAGCTACAACTTAAATAACATTGGAAGTGAAAACACGTAACTTGGATCTAAAACTATATCGTTTAGAGTTACTATATTTTGTTTAAGATTGTGCACATCACTAAAGCTTTGTTAATGTAAATGTATGAAGCTTCTGGTGCTATTGGGACTCGTCGTGGTGTAGCCACAAGACGCTCGCCTGCCGATCGTAAGGCCGTGGGTTTAAATTCGCAGGGGGTTGGATTTTTCTACTTCTTCTTCAAAAATGACACTGGCTCTTAGGTCCGCCCAGCCCTAAATGGATACCAGGTAAAAGTTCCGGGAAGTAAAGGCGACCAGTGCGGTGCTAACGACATACCACATCAAAAACCGATTGAACTAATAAAAATAGGTAAAAAGTATACGCCCAAACCGTTTTACAGATCTTCCTTTTTTGTATGCAAACTGTTGTTTTTTTTGTGCCTCCCAGGCAGATGAACTTTAACCTCGAAGAAAGCCCCAAATTAGTCCGCTCTTAGGACACGCTTGTTGCGGAGGCAGTGAGCCTATTCTTGTTTTCTCCCACAATGCAGTCCCACTGAAACCCACACAGGCAGCGTCACTGATTTGACCCCATAGTGTAATGAGACATTTTGCCGAGGCCCGCAACGAGTGTCTCCAGCCGATCCCGTTAGACCCCGCACCCTACTAACCCGCCCTATGTGTCCTATAGGCGACCAACACTATAACATACACGAGCAGCCAGAAGCGAGAATTGCCTCATTGTCCGTCCCCACGACCCCCAAGAGCGGTCAGGTGGCAGTGTTGTGTCAGTTGGCAAATTCCGAAGCCCCCATGACACCACCGCCACTGCTGAGCCATACTGAATCATCAACTGCCCTATTCTCATAGCGACTGAATAACGCGGCTAATAAGTTTCAGCGGCGTAGCATTCCTTTCATATGCTTACAGACGAGGCGTTAAACCGATAAAATAGAAATCGTTTTCACGGGAATTGCCCCAGCCTTTTCTTCGTTTCAGGTGTCCGTTTAAAGTATCCAGTTCCCGCTGACACACCTGTGCTGCCTGCGGGTCTTTGAGGCTAGCCAGTGAGGGTGCTTGCTCTTCAGCCCCGCCTTCCAACGACCGTTAAAAGTCAGAGGTCCAGAGAGAAGGAGTCACTGGTTTTTGGAGAGGGGCTTTTTGTGTGTGTCCTGAATGGGATTAAGGGTCCCCAGTTCCAGGCATAGGGACATGGTGACATATTCGTACCAGGTGTCGATTAGATAGTTCAGCGGGAGTGCGGAAACACGCCTACCTACATGTGCGAATAGTTGAGGTTCGAGACATAGGTCTTTTTTTTCCTCTCCATACTTCTGGAATGCCTTCCAATAACCGTTAAAAAAGTAAAAGTGAAGGACCCTTTGTCATGCCTTTTAGGCACATAGGGCTATACCTATATTTGTATAGACCGATCGGCACTTAGTGGGTGATGTGGTCAGCATCTCGCCGGCCACCTTTACTTCCCTGGACTGCACCTCAAGGTTGGGCCAACCTGGGAGTTAAGGTCATTTTTGAAAAGACCTTCCGATCCGCACGCGAGCATCTAGCCACGACGACTCCCCCAATAACCGTTAAAAGTCATATATATATATATATATATATATATATATATATATATATATATATATATATATATATATACACACACACACACACACACACACACACACACACACACACACAGATTCGCTGGTTTTTGAAGAAGATTTAGAGTCGGATTTGAATACTGATTAGTAAAGGAGACACTATAACCGATTGCTATTGAGAACAAGCAAGCAGCAGAGGTACCATGGAGTGTCTGCTGCACTGGGGAACTGAGAACGAGAATGCCCAATATGCAGTGACGACGACTGTGATAACATAAGAGTTAAGATTCCAGTACTCGAACCTGTGGAATCTAAGCGACGACAGAGGCAGACACACAGTGGGAATAAGAACTTGGACTCGTGATCAACTCGGCATCCTTTTGTCATTGAAAGCTGGTGTGTTTTTGCCATGTCAAGCGCCATGGTGGTCAGGAAATAACGGTGATGGACGGTACAGTTTCCGGAAAGCGATGCAGAGGCCGACCTCCGCAAACTAGGACATAGGGCACTGAAGATCATCATCATGTAGCAGGTCCTTTGCAGAACGTCGCTCTCATCACGGTCTGTCTGAAAGAAACTCAGTTCTCCTGCCTCATGTACTTCCATACTCGAGAAGACACTTATATCCTGTGCTATTCCTCGTGTCGGTCGGCCCCTGGACTTCCTCCTTGGTACCATGCTTTCTGCTATAATTTTTTCCAATCCGTCGTGGCGCTTGATATGACTAAAATATTTCAGCTTTCGAGACAGGATGCTGTTTATTATCTAATCTTCCTTGATGTTCAGATCTTTCAAGATGTCAGTATTTCTCCTCTTCTTTGCCCAAGATATTCTGAGAATCTTTCTATAGCATTTGAGCTCAAAATGAGGACATAGGGCCCTGAAGATACAATGGTTATAAAGCATACGGCTAGAGTAAGAGACACTGTTCAGGCATTCCGTGAAGAGAGCGACGTTCTGTAAGGGATCTGCTGATTGACTGCGAGTTGATTCAGCCTTAAAAGAACACGTGTACTGACGTTTCAGAAATTTAAGTTTGGCAACACTGTGCTAACGAAATTACCCATGTTGCTTGGTGTTTATGGTCATGAAACGCTTGGCCTAGCTCTAAAATCATGCTTATACCCTGCCTGGACTTTCAATACATGACATATTGCAGGAATGTATCAGTACTTCAGACTTACATAAATGCAAGACAAAGTGTTCACACAGACAACTTAAATAAACGCCAGATAAAGTGTTTAAACAGACTACTTAAATTATACACGACAAACAATGTATTTACACAGAATATTTACTTAAACGATAGACAACCTTGATTACACAGAAAATTCACATAAACGCCAGACAACCTGTTTACACAGACAATTTACACAATACACGCCAGACAAAGTGTTTACACAGATACCTGAATAAACTCCAGACAAGCTGTTTACACAGACTATTTACAAAAACGCCAGACAACCAGTCTACACAAAAAATTACATAAACGCCATACAAAGTGTCTACACGGATAACTTACATAAACACCAGACAAAGTGTCTACACTAACAGCTTACGTGAACACATATAATGTGAAATGAACTCACCAAATTTGGGGCACTAGACGAACGGCTTTGAAACGGAGACCCTCCCCCCAACCCCTTTTCCTAGTTGCTCCTATGGGGTCCGAAGGTTACAGAATCAAATCCGCTTCCAGCCGGAATTTTTTCTCTTCTCCAAAAATGACCTTGGCTCCTAGGTCGACCCAGGCTAAAACAGGTTACCAGGTAAATCCCTTGGAAGTAAAGGCGGCTGGCGTGATGTCGACCGCGTCACGAGATCTAACACAATATGCCCAATATACCAGAAGGCGTAGAAAAGGGTTCCTTTACCCACTAGGTACCCAATACTCCTAATGGCGTGAAGAGAGATCCGTTACTTACCTGACTAAACAAGTGTACACACAAAGACGGAATGCACGGGCACACACGTGAAACCTACCCTCGGTCCTGACCTCCCTGACTGCCCCTGTAGTTAGAGCTCTGATTGCCGTAGCTTCCCTGGTTGCCGTAGCCCTGGCCTTGGCGACCACCTGAAGACATAACCATACAAAAATATAACAGGTGTACAAAAAACATAGGGCGGGTTGCATCGAGCTAATATCAATACATGAAAGTTCCCGTGTGAGGAAAACACGAACAGACCCACTGCTTGCCCAAAAGCATGTCGTAAGAGTCGACTAAATAGTAGCTTCCTTCGAAGTCGGAGTACATCAGCCTGCGAGGCAAGAAACCAACAGTCCGCATGCAAATGAGTCAGACCCGTAAAACGGATGAGCACTGCATACTCTTTTCCTGTAACAGGACTAAAGTCCAGAAGTGGACGAACAACCAGAACATTCCACCGGAGTGTAAAGCCGGTGAACACGAAGTAGAAGAAGAAGAAGAAATAAAAGAACTAAACATTCGCTATGATCTGGATGCCTAACTAGCAGAGAGCAGGGCTGCCGAAATTATCATACTGTGCAACTGCCATCAGTCAATCACTCGGGTGCCGTCTCCACAGTGAAGGTCGGCTGCAATGGATCTCCAACACGTCCTGTCTCTCGTCCTGGTTGTACACTGTCTCAGACTGCTGTCCGTCTATCTCCTGATGTAACCCCCCCCCCCCCCCCCATTTTTCCCCACCACCACCACCACTTAGGGCACGTACCATATAGGGCTGGTAATCTATTCCTCCATTCCGATTGATCGTCTGCCATCTCTTCGACATCATGGATGGAACCCAGTTGCCCCACTTTTGACCACTTGCATCAACATTCGTTTCAGGGTTTCTTTTAGAGGACGTCTTCGCTTCCTAATCCTCATATTTTCCATTTCAGTGCCTATTTCTCCTTAGTGTGTGTATCCAGTACAGCGACGCGTTCTTTGCCTTATTACTGTTGCCGTCATTTGGGCAATATTATGAATTCTGCCCTGTGCATTTGCCTGTTGGCGATGCCCGGTTCCAATCTTCATCTTCTTTGGCCATCCATTAAAGGCCATAAAAAGTTAGTTGCGTATCCTTTACAGGACGTTGCATAACCAATCCCAGCATGGGGGGGGGGGGGGGGGGGGGCGGTGTGGTTTTTCTAAGCAAATTTACGTCCAGTAATTTGCCACTGCTTTCTGGAAAATCGGCTTCTCGATACTAGTGTCAAAATTGGCGCAAGGCCCGCAGCTGGGATCGAACCTAAACTACGAAGCGCGTTCGCAACGCCTAAGCAATAGATGTCGACACTACAGGCTATAAAAGTTAGTTGCGTATCCTTTACAGGCTGTTGTGTGGTTTCTCTAGGCAATTTACATCCAGTAGTTTGCCATTGCTCTCTGGACGGTCGGCTTTCTTGATACCACTGTCGAAACCAACGCAAGGCGCGCTGCCCGCAGCTGGGATCGAACCCGGCATCCCGGCATTACGAAGCGAAGCGTTCGCCTCGACTTAGCCACAGAGCCGACACTACAGGCCATACTGGGCTATAAAATATATGTGTTGCCCTATATGCCCAATACGCCTGAAGGGGTCTACTTTACTTTCTACGTTGCTAAAATTCAGCTGCTGCCTGGTATGCACAGACAACTTGTATATGCATCAGAAATAAAAATCCATGTTCTGTGGACACGGAGTAGGCCAGGATAACTGGAACAGTTGAAAGGGAGAAGGACAGGAAGACCCAAAAAAAATAGTTAAATGTTTAGCATCATATGGAAGAACATCAATACTGTAATAAGGAACAAAATGAGTCGGGGGCCGCGTTAGCGCAGTCGATATAAGACTCGCTTTCAAACCCAGCTGCGATCCGCTGCAGCCCACGGTCGGTGTTCGAAACCGGACTCGCCCATTCTCTAGGGGTAATAGGTGCCAGAGTTAACACTTTGGGGTAAACTGAGGAACATCACTGTAGCTACGGAGTTGCGTGCGGACGGCGACACAGGCGGACAGTTTCTTATCAGCTGTCCGTACTAATGGAAAAGGGACTTATGGTTTATAACCGTGTGCAGTTACGCTGGTTCACATCTCCTGACTTTACTTTTTTCAAGTCTACAGATGAATAATACAACTGTTCTTTAAAAAATTATAAATTACTACACATCGTAACAAACCAGACAGGTCGGTGTTTATAAAACAGCTATGAGTGCCAATCAATACACTATCTGTTTGTTTATTATATTTAATATATTTATACGTCCTCAAGGATTCCCCCTTTGTTCATTTATGCGAATGACGTATACACAATGGAACCTACCAATCAAATACCTTTCTTAAATGTCTGTCACGTCCGACTTGAGCTAATAATAGCTCAAGTCCGACGTGATGTTTGTGTATTCTAGACAAAGCATTACGGTCTACTGTGTTTGTAAATTATTGCTGTTTGTTACTGTGACTTGTTAATATAAATTTCTGTTACCTATGGTGCCATTTCAAATGGTTTGAAATTATGTCCGTATTCCGTGGTTGTGGGTTTCAAGCTATATGATAGACATGGCCAATGAAGACTAAACAGGGTGCCTAGCTGACCATGTTCTTAGTGGACTAAATTCCATACCGAGGTCGCACACGACATCTGGAGGTGACAGGTTCGAGTCCCGGCACGGTAACTATAACATTCGATTTTTATGTTGTCTAGTGTGTTCTTGTATTCTTTCTACTTCTTTTTATGAGTTTCGATCGACACATTGTCCGTTTATAATTTTTAATAAAGTGTTTATAAAACTGTAAAAGGAAAACCCTTGCGACTGGGGCAAGCAGATACCTAACCAGCGCATAATGGGAACATTCAACGTACACGCCCTAAGCCAACCGCAAAGGATGAATGGCCACCAATAGGTATATATAAAAAAAAAGTAATAGTCACAGCATCCCAATATCCTGCAATTTCTCGCACTGATGCATATATCATGCAACTTATGCCCATTCCATGTTTTTTCAGTAAAGCCACACATTAACTGCACGGTTTCACATCTTGGCCTTTCTTCCGCCTCAAACCGATACTTCGAGGCTACGACTCGAATACTTTACCACTATTTACAATACCGAATCGCGAATCGTCAGCTGAAAAAGAACCGATTATGTCATAGTGCATCTGATCCGGGAAAAGTGCCCTAAGATGACTCTTGAAGATTTAGAGAAAATAGCTGTTTCAGAAAGGAGACAAGACGGCCAGTTCTAGCTACAACGTTTGCAATATTAATCCGGCAGCTCTTACAGAAAGACCACACGATTCGGTATGGATTTACTTCAGAAGGCACGGATGATCTCAAGCGGACGTCTTTGAATCGGTTCTCCATCGACGCAGGAATTCTGCTAATTGCTACCAGTCTATCGTTGAACAACTTGCACAAATATCTATCGACGTACTAAATAGCTTCGGCTATTTCAGAAAATCTCCGGGATTTAGTTACGGCAGTTTTGAAAGTCTCTGGCGTTGTTTAATGTTCAGTGTAGCAAGGAATCTTAGAGTGAACGCACCGGATATGAACCAGGGGCCGCGTGCAGAATACGTCTGCCGAGAAATGGCATATTAAGGCGCGATGCAAATCTTTTCAAGCGCGGGAAACTTGGACTAAATCGCCCAGCTTCCTGATATCCGCGTCTTGCAATGTTCCATTTGTGGCGCAAGAGACGTTTTGCTGCAAACAAATAGATATTTCAAGTGTAACGCCGGGCGATTTTAGCTGTCTTTTTAAAACTGTATGTTTCATTTGTTTTCTATTTTTCAAAACTTTTACATCTCTCGCCCCTCCTCCTCTTTCTTCTATGTCTCATTTTGTCTTCTCCTTTCTTAACGTTCTCCCTTTCTCTGTTTCTCTCTCTCTCTCTCTCTCTCTCTCTCTCTCTCTCTCTCTCATCACCTGCCTTCACCTTCCCTTCCATCCCCCTTGCTCATCTCTCAGCACATATTTTCTCGTTTCTTCTTCTTCTTCTTCGTGTTCACCAGAAATAAACTCTGTTGGAGAGTTCTGGATGTTTTCCACTTCTGGACTGCAGTCCTGTTCCAGAACCTGAGTGTTGCGTGTGCATCCGTTTGACAGATCAGACATATATGTGTGTAGACTGTTGGTTCCTTGCCTCTCAGGCAGATGCACTTTTACGCTTCGAAGAAAGCTCCCAAATAGTCGACTCTTACGACATGCTTTTAGGTAGGCAGTGGGTCTATTCTTGTTTTCCCTATATTAGGGCCCCGGAAACCACACGGGGGATTTTCTCATTTCCTTTCTCTCATTCATCTCACCCCGCCTCTCAAACACACAGACAATTCTCGCACAACTTTTAGAAACCTATATAACCCGGTAACCACTTGGTGTGAAGTGTTTAAATCTGACATGCAACCAACTAATAATCATGCCCTTGTAGAGTGTTGAACGAGGAATCGACATCACAGCACTCGGGACACTCCCTGAAGTGCTCAGTCCTCATCTCCAGCAGCGAGCGAAGAATTATAATTCCTATGATACCAGTAACCGTTTGATTGCATATCCGACTCATCTTCCCCTGAGTGTTCAGCGACCGCCAAATCCCCTGGTAACCCTAGCAGCGTCATTCTCCCCAGACAGTCATGTTCCACCTGCGCCTCGGCACTGTTCCCTCGCTCCTAAAGGGCCCTCACAATATCTAACTTGTCATACATCAATTCACCACCAATTGCTGCAGAGCCAACTAGTCTATCTGCCTGCTCATTTACCAACACACCGGCATGACCTAGAGAAAATATCCAAATGACGCCAACTACCCAGGACCTCTGAAGTGATGCTTACCCTTGTAGGAAAATAATTATAATCTAAACAAACATGTTTTGTTTTACTGCGGTATATAAAAAAAATATACATATTCAAAAACTTCAATTAGCATGTTTGCAGTAAGAAACAATACTTCAAATTCCACCCAAGGATGCCAAATAAGCACAACTAACAGCAAGCCATAATGACCTGTGTACATTTCAAAACATCAAATTTCAAATGTTTTAGAGGTAATGCGAACGATCGTTTCACTCCCAGGTGGTCGTTTACCTTCATTAGCCTCCCGTTAGTTAGTTAGTCTTTCCTCTTGTGTCGA